TGAACCTAAAACATTTTACAGTGGTCCCTCAGCATCTGTTGGGGTTTTTGTTACCCATAAAGGACCCTTAATGGCAGAGTTTCTCAACCCCTGGGGTATCGTGAGGGGGGTGTCAGAGGGGTCACCCTAGACCACCGGAAAACACAGTATTTTCTGTTGGTCATGGAGGTTCTGTGTGGGAAGTTTGGCCCAATTCTATCATTGGTGGGGTTCAGAATGCTCTTTGATTGTAAGTGAACTATAAATCCCAGCAACTACAACTCCCAAATGTCAAGGTCTATTTTCCCCAAACTCCATCAGCATTCACATTTGGGCATGTTGAGTATTTGTGCCAAGTTTGGTCCAGATCCATCATTGTTTGAGTTCACAAACAACAACTACAACTCCAAATCTCAAGGTCAATGTCCACCAAACTCTTTCAGTATTTTCTGTGGTCATGGGAGTTCTGTGTGCCAAGTTTGGTTCAATTTCATCATTGGTGGAGTTCAGAATGCTCTTTGATTGTAGGTGAACTATAAATCCCAGCAACTACAACTCCCAAATGACAAAATCAATCCCCCCCAACCCCACCAGTATTCAAATCTTATTGGGTACTTGTGCCAAATTTTGTCCAGTGAATGAAAATACATCCTGCATATCAGATATTTACATTGCAATTCATAACAGTAGCAAAATTACGGTTATGAAGTAGCAACAAAAATAAGTTTATGGTTGGGGGTCACCACAACATGAGGAACTGTATTAAGGGGTTGCAACATTAGGAAGGTTGAGAAAGACTGCTTTATGAGTACAAAATCCCATTGTATACAAAGATTAGTAAAAGGCTGTTCCTTATATAAAATAGTAAACAACAAAGGGGTTGTTGTAGGTTTTTCTGAGTTATATGGCCATGTTAAGGAGGCATTTTCTCCTGACGTTTCGCCTGCATCTATGGCAAGCATCCTCAGAGGTAGTGAGGTACCTCTGAGGATGCTTACCATAGATGCAGGTGAAACGTCAGGAGAAAATGCCTCCAGAACATGGCCATATAACCCGGAAAAACCTACAACAACCCAGTGATTCTAGCCATGAAAGCCTTCGACAATACAGCAAACAACAAAGTTTATTTGGGGGTGTTTGGTTCGATCAATGTATGCAAAAACTGTGGATATGGAAGACAGCTTTATTTGCCAAGGGCATGCTCTACAACTGAGCAATAGTCTCCTGCTGAAATGGATACGGGATCTCCCTGCACTTGTGTTTTTGATATTGTATCTTGGGTACTTTTATATTTTCTTTTCAATATAGTTTGAGTGGGAGAAGGGTAGGAGATATGTGTTAAATCACTGCAATAAATGAACGATAACAAATCTGGGAATCTGGGTAGGAAAAGAAACAAGGAATCTTTTGGGGAAAGATCCCAAGAAGTTTCCCTTGTGATTTCTGCTGAGCTACAATTTCGCAATTTTCTTTTATGTTTTATGAATTTTACTAGAGACAGGAAAGTGCAATATCAAGATGGCGGAGGCATAGGCAAAATGCTTTTAAGTGAAAACGCATCATTACAAGTTAAATAAGAACTCCAGCCCTGAAGCAAATGACTTTCCCATTAAAATGTTCAGCTTCATTTCCAGTGCTAATTTATAGAAGCAGCTCTGCGGAAACAGACGTCTCTCAATATACAACTGAATCAACAGCAGTCAGTGCAAATATAATACAACATAATTAAAAAATAATAATGAAACAGAGTAAGTGTGACATAGAGGACAAGGAAGGAATGGGAAGTAGTTATGATTTTACAAGGATCTTAGCATGCTATTTTTCTGATGAACAAATTCAGGTTTTGATGTCAAAAATCTATGATTTAAGGGTGCCCTCTGCTGGTGAAGGTGAAGAATGACAATTGTTAAAAAAAGATCAGAATATCACATTTCTTTTTATGTGGTTCTGGAGGCTGAAATAATAAGAGGGGAAAGAATGCTGTGTTAACTTTTTATGTTTCCATTACATAGTTGGAAGGACATAGTGAGGCTGGAAAAAATGCTTAGTCCTTAACTTTCAAAAAGAGAGAGATACTATTGTGACAAAATAACTTTCAAAAAGGAAAAAAAAAGTAGGAAGGAAAGGATTTGCCTAGATTTAAGATACCATGCTGCTGTGTTCTCAAGTTTCAAGACTGTTTCAAGACTGCTAAATATTCAAACAGGCTCTTTTTAACTATTTCATATAAACTAATCTAGGTCCCCAAGAGTTGTCTCCATCTCTGTTCATCAAAAAGGCTTAATGTAAATGTTTTGAAAGGAAGGAAGGAAGGAAGGAAGGAAGGAAGGAAGGAAGGAAGGAAGGAAGGAAGGAAGGAAGGAAGGAAGGAAGGAAGGAAGACAAAGGAGTAGGCCATAATCAAACCAGATTTGGGAATGTGCCCACTCTCCTATTTCATGCAGCTTAGGCCAAGGTAGCACCTCTGATTTACTTCCTTGTTTATGAACCTGCAGGGCTCCACAATGTTGTGTCAGCAAGATTCACAAAGACCGGGAAGAGCATGTCACCCGCTGATCGAGCAGAAACCCAAAATACTTCCTTACAAAACCTGCAAACTGACAAGTTCATATAAGTTCATATCAAAATAAAGTGAAGTTTTCTTTGTTAAAATACCTTTGGGTGCCATGTTCAAAGTGTTGGTAGGGCCAAAGCTTGGCAATACTAGTCTGTGGACTAAAAGCCCCCAAATCTACTGTTAACAAAGGGATTTGCAGAGTTGTAGTCCAAAAAAAAAATGTTCCCAACTTGGATCAAGTCCCAAAGATTCGAGAGGATCAGAGGACTCAGAAGAAGCAAACAAGGATGGGCTTTGGAGTCTGGTGGTTGTTGTCAGTAGTTTTCAGAGGCAACAGTTAGGACTAATATGTGAGGAGGAATAACATGGATTAATAGCAACAATGTCATAAGCGAAGTCCCAAACATTGTGCCTAAATGTATTGTCGAGGGCTTTCATGGCCGGAATCACTGGGTTGTTGTAGGTTTTTTTCGGGCTATATGGCCATGTTCTAAAAGCATTTTCTCCTAAAAAAACTCTAAAATTAGAACAGCACAACAACAGAGAGGAAGCAGACAGGGACATCTAATGGCCTCTCAACAAAAGATTGCTCCAGGCACTGCCAGGCAATCAAATGCTAATCAAGGTGATCAGTTAAAACATTCACATCTAGCTCCAGCAGACAAGAGTCCTTTGTCCTACCCTGGTCATTCCACAGATATATAAACCCTTTTTCCTAGTTCCAACAGACCTCACTACCTCTGAGGATGCTTGCCATAGATGCAGGTGAAACGTCAGGAGAAAATGCCTTTAGAACATGGCCATATAGCCCAACCTACAACAACCCATTGTGCCTAAACCTAAACCTGTAAGCCATGAGCTCTCTGGGATAAGCCAGAAATGGTATTGACACTTTTCCTCAAGATCCTGATTTTTCCCCATGCCTTTGCCAGCAATACAGAAGACGCATAGTATTGTCCCAATACCCCATGAAAATGTCCCTGAAATGGACTCAAGAATGGGTGGGAAACAACCAGTCCCATTACCTCTTTAACCTCCACTGCCATTTCTGCAGTTGTCACATAAGTAAGATGGGCAAGCTTTGAACTTTACTAGAATTAAAAACAGGATCTCTGACAAAGTGTCCTCTATAAGATGATTACTGGGTGACTAACATTATGACCTTGCCTGGACCCTGAAATACTCAAGAGTGCCTTTTTCAAATCTCATTGCCTTCAAAGGCACAATCACACAACAGATGGCCACCCAGCCTCTGCTTAAAAGCCTCCAAAGAAGGAGCCTCCACTACACTCCTGGGCAGAGAGTTCCACTGCTGAACAGTTCTCACTGTCAGGAAGTTCTTCCTAATGTTCAGATGGAATCTCCTTTCTTGTAGTTTGAAGCCCACTGTTCCGCGTCCTAGTCTCCAGGGCAGCAGAAAACAAGTTCACTCCCTCCTCCCGATGACTTCCTCTCACGTATTTATACATGGCTATCATGTCTCCTCTCAGCCTTCCCTTCTTCAGGCTAAACATGCCCTGCTCTTTTATAAGGAGACTACAATTTGGATTTTTATCCCTCCAAAAGGCTTTTGAGAAGACAAAGTTTATAAGCAAAGGGCTTTTAATAATGCATTGTACTAGTTTTAAGGCTTTTAAACATTCTGATTGCATTTTTCAACTGTGTTTAGTTTTAATACAGTAGACCTTCCATTTTCATGGGGGTTAAGGGATTAGGAGTAAGAGTAGAAAATTAATTAAAATTAATTAAAACCCTTTTTTTAAACCTGAGAGGACAGGTGAAATTTGGTCAAAATTCTCGGGAAGAAGACCACAGAATTATGTTGGAGGACCAACAAATGCCTAGAGAAGTGTTCCCTCCAGGAATCTGTAACACAATTACCAGACGTTGACAATAAAGTTGCACCAAAAGACCTGGAGATTCCTAAAGAGAACATATTAATCAAATATGCAAAGAATCAAATCTGCAAAAGCTAAACCACAAATGTGATATCTGGACATATGTGGCCTTTCCCTTTTCTTTTGGTTACTGTGATTGCTGCCTTCTTGTAATAGGATTCTGAAATGGCTGAGATGTTGCTACTGCATCTCCTGGCCACTTTGATTAATTCCTTTGACTACTAATATAAAACTAGTTAGATCAGGCACGTAAAAACTTCAGCCCTCCAGGTGTTTTGGATTTCAACTCCCACAATTCCTAACAGCCTACCAGCTGTTAGGAATTGTGGGAGTTAAAGTCCAAAACACCTGGAGGATGGGTCAAAGTTTGCCCATGCCTGAGCTAGACTCACCTGTAAGAGCTTCCCATATTTTGGTCTGCCTTCCTTGGCACTTATTGCCTTTAGGTACAGGACAATCATCATAATCACTACCACCACCATCTGACATTAAAAATACAGAGAAGTGCCTTGGCCACAGAGAAAAGTCTTTCATTCCTATCTGTGGAGGGAAAAAAGGAATTTTACCTAATATCTTCATCCGTAACAATGAAGGCTTTGCAGAGAGGTTGGGACGTGTTCAGCCACACTGCTGGGTTCTTTTCTACCGCGGCCGAAAGCTGCCCCGTGATGGGAGCAGAACTTGTGTGCAATGCGCTGGCAACAGCAGAGAGGAGGGTGTCATCGTTACTGCCTGGTCCAACACCTAAGAAAAGGAATGCAGTTTTCCTCATCAGGTTCAAATGCATCAGAATTCAAAAGGCTGGATGAGATACGAAGCACACCAAATTTGATCTCTACTGTCCAAACCAGAAACTTCCACACCGAGCATTCTTAAGAGTCTGACTGATAGTATATTCTCTAAGGAACTTGGGAATATAGTAAGACCCTGTAACTGCAGAAGCCACATATGTGATTGGATAATGTTTTTTATCTAGGAGACGAAATGATTGTTTTTACTACTGTCATGGTTTTTAATTAATATGTTAATGCTTTTTAATCTTTTAATATTTTTATGATGTTGTTGACATTGAATTGTTGCCTTGTGAACTGCCTCAAGTCGCCTGAGTCGGCTGAGAGGGGCGGTATACAAATGTAGCAAATAAATAAATAATAAATAACAGTAAACATCTAAAACATCATACATCAGCAGTGAATTAACAAATACATATAGGATAAAATACATAAAAGCCATTCCCCAAGATAAAATCATGTCAACTCAGTCCATATAGTGTGGTCGCTTGTTGTTCATTCGTTCAGTCGTCTCCGACTCTTCGTGACCTCATGGACCAGCCCACGCCAGAGCTCCCTGTTGGCCGTACCACCCCCAGCTCCTTCAAGGTCAGTCCAGTCACTTCAAGGATGCCATCCATCCATCTTGC